CAACAAACAAGCATTTTGGAACAGCACTGGAGGAGAATTGCTTTTTACAATAATTTCCCTTACCCAAGGTTCGTACTTCACTTGATGGGTTTTTATCACCTGTCATATTGAGAAGGGAGAATGTCAACTCCTCTTCCCCCCTTCATAATCTGTTCAAAGACAAACATTTCCTCTCCCCAAATTTATATAGATTCGTAAATCTCCCTTATAATGGCCTCTAAGATAGCTCCTGTCTTTGTTCTTGTGATTTTACCCTTTTATTTAATTACTTGTAAGACTTTCTTGCACCAAGTTTACCCATGCCTTTGTGTCTTTAAACCTCATTAAATAATTGCCTCGTTACTAGAGCACCTCGTGCTGTTCACATGGGGCATTGGCTCTCCGTGAAGGCAGGCAGCCTAGGGAGGCCAGGGCTCGCAACGCATCCAGCCCAAACCCTCAGCAGTTATTTTTTTCAAGGGAATGAAGCCCCTTTCAGTTTTAATTCCTCCAGCTGACAAGGCTCATCGCACCACCCTGTATTTCTCCCTGACATGCTTTGCCTTGCTGCGTGTGGCCTTGTCCTGCCCGCAGAAATACCGCGGAGGCGGCGGGCAGGACATGGTGGCCTTCAGAGGACGTGTGGGATCCAGCCCTCGCTGGGGCCGCCCGCCGCTGCAAGGTCATGCGTCTTAAAGGGCATCGATTATGTTTTGTTAAAATAGGCTCTGAACTGGGCTGACCCCTTGCCGGGAGGATGGTTCAAGATTTTTTTCTGCACTTGCCACCTGTTGCCAAACACAGCGGCAAATGCCTCTGTGTAAACCCATGTCCCAGCTCAAAAACAAGTGGCTTCTTTTTTAATTATTATTATTTTTTTTATTTCCCAGAGATCAAAGACATAAGAGAATTCGGTGCCTTCTTTAGTTAATAAAAAGAAAAAAAGAAAAAAAAAAAAAGGAAACCATTTTTTTTTCTTATCAAGAGGAAAAAAAAAACACCCTATAGACAAAAGAACCAGAAGGAGAGCTGTAATGGAAATAAAATTGACAGCCTCTCAAAACTCAGGTGGCACTTTCCTTTTCCAGTTAATTACAGTTTTAATTACATGGCTTCTTGTGACTCCTTGATACCTAATAAACTAGACTCTGTGGGGCGGCAAAGTTGAGTTTTGCTTGAACTGCAGGTGTAAGGCTCAGCATGAAACATAAATCAACTTCTTAAACATGTTCCCAGGGTGTGTTCAGGCTTTTTCTTCCTATTTGCTTGTAAAAATCACATCTTTTCACCATTGTTGGTAAAAAAAATGATTGGAGCTTCAACGCTGCAAGTATTAGCTTTGTGTCTTTGCTTGTGAAAGTCCCCTTTTAGTAGGGAAAAATGGCTTTTTTTTCCTCTTTTTTCTTCAATCTGATAATTTTTAAAGGAGTGATACATTACCTGCATAGACCCTTTCTCATTATTGTGTTTTTCATGGAGGTATTTAAGATAGCAGGAGAAAATATATTAGCAGCATGAAAGCAAGGGTAGATGGGGCTGTGGAAAACAAGACATTCAGCCCACAGGAGCTGCCTCCTCTGAAGGTTTTGAGCAAAGAAAGCTCTGGTTTGCTCTGTGTGTGTGCTGCCCTGGAAGTCTGTGCCCAAGGTAGGCCTGAGTGAAGCGCCGTGTGTTACGCAGGAGCAGGTCCTGTGCTGACGGCCTGCTGCGGCCCAGAGGTGGCCACAAACACGGTCCTGAAGCTCCACTGGCCTCAGTCACAGGACAGCTGGTGGGGCCACAGGTTGCCTGTGGTCCTCAGCGCAAGCTCCTCGTGGCATGGGCTTTTGTGCCAGCATCAGGCCTGGAGTGCCTTGGTGCTGCAGAGCCCTGAGGCCTAAACCATGGCAGGCCTCAGCCAGACAGCCCAGCCTGCTTAACCACCAGCCTGAGCTCCCAAAACTAAATGGAGAAGCCAAAAAAAAAACAAAAACAACAACAAAAAAAAAAAAACAAACCCTGCAGCCAATCGAGAGTTTGCAAGAGGGGAGAAAGAAGAATTCCGCCTGCCTTCCTGACAAAATAGAGTGTCTCACCGTCTTTTTCAATTAGTTTTGGTTTTATTTTTGAAACCGCACGGAGACGCAATTGCAGAGGGGCTTTTTTGGTTTTGTTTTTTTTTCCTCTTGCCACCCCCATAGTTTTTCCAGAGTGGGAAAGGCAGGGCAGAGTTAAGGGAGTTAGGGAAAGGAAGGAGAGTGGGGAAGGAGAGGAACAGGAGTGTAAAAGAGAAAAGAAGCCATAAAATCCGCAGACGCGAGTGCCTCTCATTCTAGCACTCCAAGTGAGAGCGAGAACAAAGTGGAAAAAAAAAAAAATCAAATATCTAAAATGTTTTGGTTCACAACAATGAAATGGAGCAAACATTTCCAGCTGAAGCAGAGTATGCATTTTGTGTGTTTTGCAAGGCTTTCTGTTTTCAGACAAGGAGAAGGAAACAAGTGTGGGTGTCAGAGTAAGGGCACCAGTTTCCCTCTGTACTGGGCTGCCTGTCCCTGTCCCTAGGAATGCAGAGCCCAGAGGCTTGTTGGGCCACCCAAACACAAGGGAAGGCCAAATGAAGAGAGCTTCATGACTGAGAAAGTGCTGTAAGACGCATCCTCCAGTGAGCGCATCCCTGCAGCACGTGCCGGTACCCGCCGGCTCTGCAGAGGGGAGCCTAGCAAGCATCAAACCATACGCCTCTGAAGCATATGGCAATGTGGTCTGAAGTCTTGCAAGGCAGCTCCGACTTGGAAAAGGCTGAAAAGTTTTCAGCCGGGGTTTTATGGTCTGCTGAAACACAAATGACCATTTTTCATCCAAGAGAGAAAGTTTATCTGGGGAAAGGCGAGCGAGAGGCAGCCACCCTCAGCCAGAGCCGCCCGGTCCCTGCTCCTTCACCGCGGTAGCATGAGGAGCGTATTTCTTCCCAAGTTGTCGGCAAGCTGTGTTTTAATAATGGCATAATAGATAGTGCATGAAGGAGCATTAGCCGCAAAAATGATCCTGGTGGGAAGGCAGCTTGGAAGAGGTTTCCCTTCTAAACTTGACACCAGTGCTGGGAACCCTGCACATCTGCACAAGCCTGCCTGAGGACAGAAAGGATCAGGCGAGCAGTGTACAGTGTGAAGAAGCAACACTGGCTTGCAAGAAAAACTGGGAAGATCCAAAAGGCATTGAAAAAAAAATTGCTTGGGATAAAAAAAAAAAAAAAAAAAAAAAAAAAAAAAAAAAAAAAAAAAAAAGATCCATTAGCTCAATGTGTTGCAGTTTTATGGCTAAGTGCAAGGTGAAATGCTACATGCCAGGCATCACAGCTTTCTTTGGAGTCACCTGGTCGTTGGTGTTTTTCTTCTAGATTGTGCTCCTGGCATCTCGGAATTAGGAAGAAAAACAGCATCTAGGATAACATAAAAGAATTCTGACCCAACTGGTGCAGGCAAAGAAATTTCCTAAAAATTGAAAACCCAGGGAGGAATAGCACACCCCAAAGCCTAAAAGCCCCACCTTTAGGAACTCCTTTAATCCCACAGCTTTGGAGAGGACTTGGTGGCTCATGAAGATCCCACGTCAGGGCCAGAAGAAATCTAGGCTGGAGGAGGTGTCACAGCGATGGCAAAATGCTCTGCAGGACAGTCACATACCCAGCCAGAGAGGACTGCAAGAAGAGCAGACCCGCGCCAAGTGTTCCTATCCATGGTATGCTCTGTAGATCTCCTGGGATCCATTATTTCCTGGTTAAACAAGTACCTCCTTTGTTTTAACCAGCTCAGCTTGTTTTTAAGCTGGTCCCTCACAAACTCGGCCCAAGTTCACCTGAACAATCCTGGTTTTTAACTTGTAGGGAGAAGGCAACTTAAGATTTACTGGATAGCGATGGCGAGCCTAATGTAATAAAAGTCTGACCCTTCTGATGTGTATGGGCTACTGTATTATAAATATTTAATAAGTTATATGGAAAGAAAAGAACTATAGGGGTTACAGAAATCATATTAAAGCAACTAAGTAAATACAAAGAAGGTTAAAGTGTCTAACTCTATATGGTATAAAGGCTAAAGCAAACCAGATCTCTTTCTAGATACTTTTTCCATGTACAGCAGTAACTGGGCTGCATAAAAATAAGGCAAGTATTTAAAGACAGTAAAAAAAAAAAAAAAAAAAAACAGGAAGGAAAAAAGAGAGAGAGAGATCTAAAGCATTTGGTTGGCATTGATAGCAATCGTTTCAAAAAGCCCTGGAACATTTAAAGAGAATTAGAAGGGATTTTGCTGGAATCAAAGGGGGAGCACTTTCCAGGGCTGGGTACGTATTTGGGTATCTACAAGCTGACTACATCAGAACGAGCAGAACAGCCTTGATCATCCAGGACTTTAAAATCAGAAGAAAAAGGGTTTCCTGTTTGGGCTCTTTTTTCTCACTCACACATCTCATGGCTTTCATTCTTCTGCCTGCTCGATGGTAAAGTAACATTTATTTTGGCACGGAGGCTTGCAGAGCGCTTTGAAAGGCCCGCCGGGTCGAGCAGCTACAGCGCACAGCGAGCCCGCCGGGGTGAGCAAACCTGGAAATATTTAGGTTTACCTTGGGAATCACTCTGGGGGGCTTTTATATTATTTTTTTTTCTTCCTAACCTAGGTTTTGTTTTTAAAGAAGAAGTGGATACCTCCCTGCGTGGCTGCAATACCCACCGGGATGCAGACGCTGCTGGCTTGCCGCCTCGCCAGCCCGCCATTCCCACTGCGATGCCAGCCCCATCACCAGCTCTCTGCCGCACCGGCCAAAATCCTTCCTGGCATTTGAGCAAGGATTTTGCTGGTGCAGTCGAGTCACCCTCGGTGTCACTAGCGGGGAGAGGGCAACCAAGCCCACCGAGAGGGCTGCCCTCTCCTCCAGCAGGGAGCTGGGATAGTGCCCATGCAACAGGGTGTGCTGCTCAAGTGCCCTCTGCCCCGGGCATGTTTCTATTTGAAAAAAAAAAAAAAAAAAAAAAAAAAAAACCACAAGGCTATGGAGGGGAGTGAAGCAAGATGTTCAAACCAGCTGGAGGTCCCACCACTGCCAAGAGGGGCATCTCCTCCCTGTGATCCCTCAGTGGTGAGGAGGAGCTCACCGGGCCCCTAGGAATCAGGTTGCCTTGCAAAACTTGCTGAAAATTCCCATTTTTATTACTATGATCATTTTTTTTCCTATATTTTTTTTCCCCTGGGAAAGGCAATGGGCTTGGCCGGCAGGAGGTCCAGGAGCAAGCAGGGGAGAGGGGACAGTGGCAGAGGGCAGCAGGAGGCAGAGCCTCCCCTCCGGCCGGGGCTCGCATTGGTGCGGCTTCTCCACACTGGCCCCCGCCCCGCTCCTCCCACTGCCAGCAATGCAGGGGACGGAGGAGATCAATCATGGGTGGGGAGAGTTCATTGCGATGGGTTCATGTCTTTGTTTTTCCCTTAAGCCCCAACATATGTTAGATATAGAAATTTTAAGGCTGGAAGTGTGCAGAGAGTGCGAAGCGGACGTACGGCAGATCCAACGAGAAAACGCAAAAATAATAGGCATTGCACTCATTCCCCCCCCTTTCTACTGCCTCTGTGCTGTCAAGGTTAGTGAGCAAGCCTACAAGAGACTTTCTTTGTGCAAGGAAAACCTGAGCTGGTTTTAGGTCAGGGAATGCATTTTCTTATATTTTCCTCTAACGATGTTTATAGGCACAGGACACACAACACCCAGGAAATTTACCTTTGAATCACGTTGTGGATTCCCACCATGACCCATGGAAGAGGTGACATTCCTGCACGGGCTCTGGTGGGGCTGAGGGTAGCATCAGTGAGCAGTTTTGGGGGCTGTGGGGGCATCAGTGTTGCAGTTTCCCTGCCCAGTGCTCCTATGAGGATGTTTCATGTCTGCTGTGCAGACCAGAAGTGAGGTTTATTGAGAAGGAGGGTGGGAAAAGTCACCTCCCGTGCTGGCAAACAACAGTCAGTGCAAAGACGACTGTGATTCACCTATTAAAATATCCACTTTTTTTTTCTCTGATGACCTTTTTTTTTTGTCTTTTTTTCAGTATTTTCCCTGCTACAGCTATCATCCTAAATAACACCAGCCCATCATGCTACTACCAGCGGCAGAGGCTTTACAGTGCAATGGAGAACTATTCTGAAGGTACAAATCACTTGACCTAAGGAATCTCCCTGGAGTGTCAGTGCTATGCGCTGCATTTTCACTCCGCCAAAGCCTTTATTTAGCACATGCTAAAGAACATTTAACATTTAAAGATCCCCTCTGCACATCCTCCAAATGTCTCCATCCTTTACTTTTAGATTAATATGTCTTCTGTGAAAATGAGATAATTGATTGCAGAGCCATATTATTTACAAATGAAGTGTTGTTCATGTATTGACCTTTCATTTCTATAGCTCAATACTAGTTCTTGTACAGCACTTGTAATTAGTGAAATAGTAACAGAATTAGAAGAAAGATGTGGGGGGAAGGAGCTTATGTGGATGTTGTTAATGAGAAGAAACTTTAAGATGAGTTACACTTTTAAAACTGCAAAACTTCATGTTTGGTCAGCTTCTACGTCCTAAATCTCTGTTTGGGAAGGAAAAAGAATATCCATCTGCTCCCAAGGGGAATTGCAGGGGACGGGGCTGATATATAGGCACAAGTATGTGTCTTCCCTTCACCCCATCCTGCAGCCCTTCTTCGCCATGGGACTCGGGGCAGCCCAGCTGCCCTGGGAAGCTACGGGCAAAACCCACGTTCATGTTTCAGGATAATCAGCACCAGCAAAGGCAGGGGACTCAGGCATGTATGGCAATAAAGGTCCCCAAACCAGTGTATATGGATCAATGGATGCTGCCGTCGAAGATGCTCTCTCATGAGAGCCACTCGCAGGCTTGGAAAAACTTGGGATTTTGAGAATAAACAGGAAAATCTATCCTTCTGTGAGTCTGATGCAGTCCTCGTGTAAAGGCCATGGCCTGTTTGCATCTGGTTTAGTGTGACCTCTTCAACGAGTGACTGCTTCCAGTGAATGTGCTCTTCCCAGACTTCTGCAGGGAGGAGGCACGCGGTGGGCAGCCTCTCACCCTGCCTAGGGAACGTGGCTGCTCCAGGGGAGAGACACCCTCTGTATGCAGGCAACATAAACCATGGTGATGGTTTAATTGCTACTAATGCAAACAGACAAACAAACAAACAAACAAACGAATCTAAATTTGGCTGGACCTTGTGCTTCTATTAAAACACCAAGCAGGCAGAACTGACCGGAATTTGAGCCCCCTGCTTTTCCCTGGGAGGGTGAAGGAGAGCTTGCCAATGGGACTTCAAACCCAGGAACATAAATATCTGAAAGAGAAAGCAAATAATTCAGTATCTCAGTAACAAAGATGTTAATAGCCTTACAGCTATAAAGGAACTATTGCAACTGTAGAAGAGGTTTTATTGTATGTATAACTATTAATGCAACAGAAATGTATTAAGAATGTCTGTCATTGCAGGTCTGGAGAAAAATATTAGGCTTGAGTAAGGTCATAGAGGAAAAACAGAGGAAAATAATAAAGATAAGGATATGAAGGTGTTTCCAGCATCCTATGGATGTGGACAAATAGGACATGGCATTCTTCAGAGCATCTCTTTCAGAGAAGAATTTTGTCCCAGTAGACGGGCTCAAGTACAACATCCACTGAACCTACAAAAAATTACAAAACAAAAAACAAATCAGCAACCTTCACTGTTCTTTAGGGAATGCAAACATGCTGCTTTGGTGGCTGCGTTATTTGCAGCACACACTGCAACTGAGATATCTCCCCTTCCATCTTCTTACTAAGGGGCCAGTCCCATTCCTCTCAAACAACTGGCATCCTCTGGCCCCAGAGAAATGCCAGCAGTGGTGCTCTGGTCTTACTGAACAGCCGTTCTTATTAAATGACACTGCAAGGAGCAGAATTTCAATACAGCAGAAACAATTACACTATTTATGGTTGATCTGCCTTGCAAGCTAAATCGTATGTGTAGGACACACAGCAAGTGTATAATGCTGCAGGAGGTGGCAGCAAGCTCAGCACTCCCAGTGCTGATCCCCCTCTTATGGGATGTCCCCACAACTGCACAGGAAAGTCCCTAAAGGGGTCCTGGCCATCCCAAAGGACCAGCTTTTAGCCTTCTGCACACATTCATCATGACCAAAACAAGGAGACCGGGGAGCTGCCTCTTGAGCACAAAGTCCCCCATACACGCGGGCGGCTGGGCTGTGCAGGGCACACGGACCCTCAGAAGTGGAGCCAACAGGGAGCATGCTGGCTACCTGGGATTTTATAAATCTTTCAGCTATCAGTCTTTCCGAGCTCCAAATGCAAAATCCAGCAGCCCAGGATATCATGTGGATTTATGAGCTGGGATTTATGAACTGGTCTGGATAAAATAAGAACTGCCTTGACATTTTTTTTGAGGTTTGAGGAAAAGAAACAATAAAAACCAAATACCTGATTTCCACCCCCCCCCCCCCCCCCCCCCCCCCCTTTTCAAAGCATGTTTATAGAAATGTGTGCACTTGTAGATGTATATATTCAATTATTTTGATTTCTCTTTCTACCTGTGTGCTCTTGGTCCCGGCTGGTGCTGGTCTTGCAGGGCTTCCTGCCTGGCATGGGGAGGAGGAAGTGGCACACGTCTCCCAAAAAAACAGTCTCAAGCCATTCCCAGCCTGCTTCTGGGTTGGGAAAGGTGCCGTATGGGCTCTGTGAGATGTCTGAATGTCTGCAAATAGTAGGACAGCTCCCCAAAAGGACACTGTTACAGCTCTCACTGTGCCACTTTCTTTCATCATCTTTTTCCTTAGGTTCTTTTGCAGCCCTTGTTTGTTGGGCTTTGTTGTTTTATATTTGTGGCAAGCTGTGGTTTTAGGTGTGCACGTGTATGTAATGTGTGTACATATGTGTGCATGTGCACACTTGCGTATATACATATCAGTGCACATGTGTGCACTCACACGTATGAATCAGCATCAGTATAGATACAGATACACACATACACCTATGTATATGTACCTATAGGTATATGTGTGTATCTGTATCTATACTGATGCTGGTTCATTTACATATGTACATATGTATATATGTAGTTGCATGCTTGTTTATTCCTCTATAACAATGCATACAGACACACACATTTATGAACAAGTATTATGGATGGTTTGTGTATTAACTCTTTGATTAGAAACCAATACAAACTATGACTTTTTATTAATACTATTGAACCAGATGTACTTTACATGAGCCTTACAGGCCCATCCCAAAGGACTTTCTTTCCTTATCTGTATCTCATGACCTTAGTTTCAATTTGTCTTATCTTAAAAACAACAGTGAAAAAGAAAAGACAGCATTTACCTTGGTCAAAAGGAAAATTGCCAGATACATTTTTGGCCTCTCTTCTGGTTGATCCTTTCATACTTCTGCCCACATTTTCCAGGTGGTTTTCCTTCCATGATCCTTGAGTTAGCTCTTTACTTTATGGATAAATACACCTCTTAGGAAAAGAAGACATATATAAACATGACATATATAACATATATAAACATAGACACATGTAAATGCATATATATATGTCTACATACATGTATACACACATATATATCTACATACATACCTACATATACACATATAGCCAACACCAAGGATGCTGTTTGACCTCCACATGAAACCCCCTCATGCTGCTGACTGTTTCCCAAGGCTTCTGCCAGCCTTCTAGGAAGGATAGCATGGATTTAGCTAATTCCCTGGGCTGAACGGGGAGACAAGCCCAGAGAGGGTGGTGTGAAGGAAGATGCTCTGGGCCCTTCTCCTGGTGGTGTCTCAGCTGCACAGAGGATGCAATGCAAACACTAGGGGATGGGGATGATGCTCCAGAGCAGTTGAATTTTGCTCTGCACAAGAAGACCAAGCTTCTACGTTGCCTGTGGTGCCTGAATAAGCTCAAGTGGAGGCACTTGCCCCAGCCAAGGAGCTCAAGCCAAACAACCAAACAATAGCTGGCGGCAACCTCCCAGCCCCAAACCCGTGGACTGCAGCCTGGAAATGCAACAGGCTCGGTCAAGAAAATGTCAGCAGGTTGCAAGGAGCCAGTAAGGGCTTAGTGGCTGAACCAGGCTCTTCGAGGGAGAGCAAAAAAAAAAAAAAGGTTTTCTTAATGGCCCAGTGTTGGTGGTGATTTCGCTTGCTTTGCTGGAATAGCCTTTGTGGGTCTGAAGCAAAAGGTTGTGTTTTGTCTTTAATTACCACACATTCAGAGTGCTTTTTCAGCATGGCTCACGTCCCAGGAATAATTTGATTTGGAGATTTTGTTTTCAATGAAATAGAGGAGTCCACATCTCATCTGAGAACTCTTGTTTAAAAAACCATACGCATACACACTTCTTTTAAAATTACTGTTATTCAGTGCGGATCCCCCAATTGCCACCTTTTAGAGCCCAGGAAGGCCATGGAGAGCCCCAGGCTCAGGGTGAGGAGGCAGCAGACCGCTTACCACATAGGGACGTCCCAACCTCAGCTTCAGTCATGGAAGTTCCCTGCAAGTTTAATGTGAATTAATGAGATTTAACAAACCAGGAGGGTGGCGATGGTTGGGAATACGTGTTATGGTTTCCACACCACTGAACCCTCTGTCACCTAAGGCCTCCAAATGGGTGGCGCAGCCACCAGCATCTCTCCTCAGCTGCTTTGTGCTGGTACCACGTCTCCCACTGCCCGCTCCCGGTGCGATCACATCCTCTGGCTCGATCTCGACGTTTGAAATCCTCTCACCATCCGAGGGCGAGGGAGGGGGCTCCCGTGCAAGGCACTGAGTGCCTGGAGCCCGCTAAGTTCAAAGGCACCCTCCCGCCCACCCCAAGGAGAGATGAAGCTGGCCCAGGGATGGCTGGAGGCCACACAGACGGGAAGGTATGTAGCAATCCATTTATCACTTTGCAAATATTAGTGCTGCTCGCATTTGCTGCGGCAATATTTCTTCTTGGAAATTGGTGAAGTGAGTAATAACAATGTTATTTATTCTAAGACCTTGGAGCTGAGAAGCAATAACAGGGGGACTGTTCCCTTGAAAGCTTCTGAGGTGCTGGAAATAAACTGGGGGGGGGGGGGCGGGGGGGGGGAAGAAGAGATAGACCAACAAAAGGCTAGGGGAGAGAAAGGCACATTATAAAGCCATAGAAATCTTGGGTTTAATTTTGTTGCCCCAAAGGTAATAAAATGCATTTTGTAATGATTTATACACAAACAAGGAGGGGGGCACAGCGGCTGGCATTTTGAGCGTCCTGATGGACGTGCCTCCTGCACCATGGGGCGGCCACTTCACCCTTGCCTCTCCTCACTTTTTTTCTCCTTCCCCCCCTGTTTTTTTTTTGTTTCGTTCCCCCTCTCTACATTGCTTATCTGAATATATAGGGCTGCCCTTTGCTCAGATTTATGGGTTGGGGCAGTGCTGTGTGTATTTACAGTCTCCTGACCTGAAGACCTACAGCTGAACAAGAGAAGGAGGAAACCAGGGCCCGTTCCATAAACAGAGACAGATACGGGGGGGAGGCAGGAGGAACTGCCAGCACTTAACATTTTTAACTATTTGGCCAAGCGAAGGAATTAGTGATTAGATTAGAGCCCAAGAAAAATGAGAAGCAGGGTTAAAGATTTGGCGGGGAGAGGGCCGGGTCCGGCCGGGGTCTGGCACGGGAGAAATGCAAAGTTGGAGGGGTTTTGCAAAAGGTTTTCCATTAAAAGTTAGAGGGGTTTAATAGAAGGCTTTCTGGGGCCAACCGGCATAGGGATGAAAGCGAATCTCCAAAGCGTCTTAATCAGACCCGTGCTTTCCTTGGGCAGAGCTGAATAACTCTTTTAAAGCACAATTAGGTTGCGAGAAGGTAGATTACTTAGTCTGTGTTTATTCAGGTACTAATTGCCTCAGATTAAGTAAAAGTTTGAAAGCCTTGCTTGACGGTAATAAATATTTCTTACGTCCGTGTCTATCGGGTGGTTTGCAAGCAGAAATTCAGTTCAGATGAGACATATTTCAACGGGCCCCGAGAATTACTTGACTTCTCTGATGTGAAAAGCAGCAAAAGTGGCAACAACCTGGAAAATAAATAAATGAAACGCAACATACGTAGGGGTCACAATATAGCATAAGTATATCAACATGATGAACAGCTTTGATGAAAATGGTAAACAAAACCACCCTCTCTTCCTGTGGCTTGTTTTACATTGCAATAAACCACTGACTCTATAACCTATCAGAACATGCTGAGATTTTATGCATCATTTCCAACTACTATTTGAACATTTGGTTTAGAGTAGTCATGAACTATAATTAATGGTATTTTTTTTTCCCTGATAAAAAGCGCACTTTATTGTAGTTTATTACCTGTTGGTCCAAAGCTCCATAGGTGACGTAAATTCATTGTGGGTTTTAGGATGGGGATAGAGGAGGGGGCTTCTGCACAGGATGATGATGAATCCACATTCACCATCTGTGATCAAACGCAGAAGTTTTGCCTGGGCTTCATTTTCTGTGATGCCCTATCCAATGTGCACATATTGCTGCTCATTCCGAAGCCTGCTGGAAAACAGAAGATGTGCGAGGAATTTAACCCCGATGCTGTTGCTATTGTCTGGTAGGACACTTCTATTATCATTTCTTTTAGCTGTACCACGTGCCTGAGCTTAGACCACGGGCATCATGCACTGGCATCCTTGCTCTTACAGAGGAGAACCCCCCCAGAAAAAGGGGGGGGGGGGGGGCTGCTGTCATCATCTCTGTGGTCCCTGACTGGCTCCAGGTGCCAGCCCAGCGCTTTGCTCGTAGGAGCGAGCTGGTAGCACCGGGCCGCCGGGCGCAGCCTGCCAGGAGGAGAGGGGGAAAAAAAAAAAAACAGGCACCACAAAGAACATTGAGATGAATGGCTCTATTTTATGAGCCATAAAAGTTTTATTCATCTTGACACCGAAACAGGTTTAGGCAGCGAGCTGACACGCCTTAAATAAATAAGTGGAATTAATTCCCCGGCTCTTGAAACAATAGCGGCGTGCATGTCACGCCGAGAGCTGCCCCATTGTTTCCCATGGCTGCGCGATATTGATATTATTTGTGTTTTTCCGTGCGGCTTCCTCTGGGGCCTGGTTGATCCACTTCAGATTCTTCCCCTGTTTTATTAGAGGTTGAAAAAGGTTCAGGACCTGGTTGTACCGCTGCTCCCACCGACAGCTCAGGAACCAGTTTGGCGTCTGGTTTGTCTGTTGTTTTACTGCTGACCTTCAGCTCAACTTTCCCCCCTGACCCCAGGAGGCATCTATCATGACAAGAGGCTGTTTAACACAAATGGTGCCCATTTATAGGGGAAGAGAGTCAGAAGATTTCCTTTTTATGAAGAATTTGGTTTTTCACCCCTCTTTTCTCAGTCACCACAGGTGAAATCCCTCCCAGCAGCTGGCTTATGAAATAATGCGAGGGGAGGCCGTAATGAGCTGAAAGCACCCTCAGCTGGAGATAAATATATGCAAATGAGATGCACAAACAAAGGAGCCTGGACAGAGAAATATCTGCAATTCCAGCAAAATGCTGCCTGCAGCTAGAAGATGAACAGCTTTGATAAAATGGTAACAAAAAGCACCTTTTTATCCTCCAGCTTGTTTTACATTGCAATAGACCATTGTTATTGTAACCCAGCGGAGCATGCAGAGGCTTTTCTGCGCCGGTTCAAAAAAACCTGTTTAAACATTTGTTTTTAAGGCATTCAGGGGCGATGATCAATGCGCTGTTTTGTTTTTTTGCCGGCTGGGGGTATTTTTTCTCGGCTCGCTTTTGCTGGGGCGGGCGTTCTGGGGGCGTCGGGGCCGTTCCCCGCCGTTGCTCCCGCCGTTATCCCGTTACCTGTTGGGCTCTCCGCGGGCAGCTTCGGTCGCACCGGCTCGCATCGAGGTGCATCGCCAAAAAATTTGGAGTTTGCATCTGGCACCGTGCAGGGAAGCCGCAAACAGCGAGAGGCAGCGCGGGGACGGGGGGGGGGGGGAAAAATCCAGGCGTGAGCATTCCCGAAGCAGCACCCAAACAGGCAGCTTTAATGAGAGCAATCAAGCCTCCGAGCTAATTCGGAGACAGCCATCTAACACGCTGATTTTAATAAGCTTTTAAAAAGGCAATCGCTAACTTTTAAAAGTCTCTCTTTTTAATTTAATTGTTTGGGGTTCGTACGTTGCCAAAACAAACACAGCCACTAAAATATGTTTTCAATATGCAGAAGTAGCATATCTAGACAATGTTTTAAATTAGCCCTGTATTTTGGGGGTTGGAGGAGGGAAGGAGAGCGAGAGGCTGACTTCAGATGACTCTAAGACATTTTCCGAGCAGGGTTGGTCACGTCAAAATAATACCTTGATATTCTCACCTCTGCCTTTATGAATCCCCCAACGTATCCGTAAGGATGCCTGTTTACCTATAGGTTTCTTTAGAAAATAAGCCCAATCCCATATCATATGCAGTTTACTTGCTAAAATGCAGAGGAGAGAAAGGCACAGAAAAGACAGTGCAGCAATACCATTTAACTTCTAACCTTATGATATCATTAAATAAATCTTTATGAATTTATAAAAGCAGCACAAACACCATAAAGTTTAGGCGGCCCTTTCCTCGAGGCACCAACCACAATTTTTAGATCTGGCAAGAAGAAAAATAGACTTACCTTTTAGGAAAAAAAAAAAAAAATCCACCTCTTACTACGTTATACGGCTTTGGCACTTACAGATGTTAGAGCAGACAAGTGTCGGATTTCCCGATGTCAAGCAGATTTCCTAATTTTTCATAGGCTTCTCCTGTTGCATTTTTGGGGCCAAATTTGAGAGTAATCAATTTAATTTGCGTGGCTGCGCACCGGCGATGGGGCTACGTGCACACGTAGGCTCTCGTGACCCCTGGAAGCCGACGGGCAGCTCTCCGCTGGGAGCCCCGGGTGCCCCAGGCGCAGGGTTTCAAGAGTTAATGGAAACTTGGTGAGGGCAGGGAGCCTTTCTTTTTGCAGCCCAGGTTTGCAGCAGCATAATTATGTTCAACTGCTGTTGTTTGAAAAGGGCAAACAGCATCTTAGGCACAGAACAATGAAATTACAGCTGAGATTTAGGTTAGCAAAAGCCGTCTTCTGCAGGCTTTTATGATTCATTATTTCCCATTAAATACAGTATTAGAAGTGTACACCAGATAGCTCATGGTTGCTGCGCTCAGAGCACATTATCTATATTACACAGGTCTGGGGAGCAGAATTAGAAAACTTTGGGGGAATGAGCAATATGTGTTTGCTGATAGAAGTACCATATGGCTCATCTTCCTCAATTGCTTTCATTGCGACTCTGATGCTGGAGAAATTAAAGTTTTATTTGATGTGGCACAGCTTAATGAACTGTCTTCTGTTAGGAAAATTGAATATGTTTCCTGTTATTTGAGCACAGAGCCCTCATGGTTTTGGCTGATGAGGGATGCATTATGTATTGTTTATTTAGCATTTTGAAAACAAAAGCAGATATTGGAGGTAAAATTGATTACCGCAGGATGCGTTATATAATCACATTTTTCTTTCTCTCTTTCTTTAATTTACAGCCCTGCCTATTATTTTTATGAGCCTTTTTCTATTCCCATCCCCCCCCCCCAAAAAAAAAAAAAGAGAGAGAAGGAAAAAAAAAAAAAAAGAGAGAAAAAAAAGGGGGGGTTGAGGCAGAGCACAGAATCTCTGCTTTGTTTAAAAGCAGCATTACAATTTTTAAGGTTTAGAGACCAAAGTGTGTGCCCACGTGCATTAACCTGCGGGTCGGCTCTGGGGATGCTTTGTTAGCAGCAGCCCTGTTGCTGTTCCTCCCTGTTGGCTGCAAGACACAAAGAGGGGATCATCGGGGCTCCACCAAGCAAATCCCCCAGATTCCCTATTGCTAAATGTGCCGGGGAGATGTGGTTGCAGACCGGTGCTGGCCGAAGAGGAAGGGGTGGGTATCAGGGGGGTTGGTGTACAGGAGCGTGGGGTGGAGCAGGGCCTGTGCTACCTGCTGCTGTCGCATCATTTATCTGCATCAGGAGAGAAGTTATTGATGGGAAGGTGGTTGAGTTAAAAGGAAATGTGTGTTTTGTGTTGTGCTTTTTTTGTTTTGTTTATAATACACAGAGGTGCACACACACTAAGGCATATGTGCCATACCCATACCATTGGGGTGCTTTTTCTCTGTTAGTAGCAAAAAATGCCATGACAAAAAGGGCTGCATTTGCTCTCCAGGTTTGTGAACAGACAAGTGTATTTAAGTATACTGTGACACTTAAAGGGGGAAAAAAAATCTTTAAAGTATGCTAATCTGATTAATTCCCCTTCCACTCTGGAAATTCTGCCCACTCCCTGTGATGCTTTTGCTGTTATCGATCTCCCAGCAAAAGGGGTGATCAGAGAGCTCAAAGTCAAAACTAGCCCAGCTCCGGTGCAGCGCCTGCTCCTGCCCTCCGCACCGCTCTGACAAAAAGGCAATTTGTCTCATGTGCCCCGGGATGCTGGAGGACACTGGCACCCGCGCCCCTTCAGCACAGCTCGCGCAGAATCCAAACGCCATCCATTAAAAGAGAAAGTCCCAACGTGTTTATAGCAGCGGGCCAAGTCCTTGTGCCGGCACAACTCCCATTGACGTCAGCAGGGCTTTTGCTCAAGCAGGGAGCGCAGGATCCTGCCCTGCACCTTCCTAAAGCAGAGACTGGGGGGGTGGGGGGGGGGACAGAGGGGAGGATAAGAAGTAGGGGGGAAAAAAAAAAAAGAGAAAAAGAAATCACCAGTATTAGAAGGAGCATGTTGCTCTTGAAAATGTCTCTTAGCAAAGTGGTTAAGTAAAGGCCATGCAAACAGTGACTATAAATATTTTTGTTCTGTATAGCTGTTCAAACAGTGCCCCGCTGTAATTTCAGATGGGCTCAAAAATAAATAAATTAGGGGGATGGGGGGGGACAGCAAGGAGGGGGAGAATAAAGGATTACATAGCAGCCAATGCCAAAACCACAAAAAACTTCATTTTCAGACAGATATATTTCCCAGGGAAGAAAACGGTACATTTTTATGAAAGGCTGCTCCATGACAGGAGCCTCCTTTGAGGAAGACCATTATGCATTGTTATCAGCGTGGCGTAATTTGACTGTTGACAAAGTATCTGTGGCAGTGAGAATGAAAGCAGTTAGAAGTGTGGCGGGTTGTAATCAAGAAGATGCTTAGCTGTGCAACGCTGCATCTTGAGCAGATTTGAATCAACATTGCCTTGAGGGGACACACACACACACGCGCACACACACACACGCACACACACACACAAAAAGTCCATTAATTTTTAGTGGGAAAATTAGAGTGGCACTTGATGAAGTGAAATTTGACATGCGTTAATTGCTCCGCAGCTCCCCTAATTAGAGATTTTTCAAATTCTTTTACTGCTGTCAGGCTGATGCTGCATTGTCTTTGCTGGACAACTAGCAAAATTGCAAATTGGGCTGATCGAGAAGTCAGGCGCTGGGCGATCGCTCTGCAGCTCGCTCGCCGCTGATCCTCGTTTTCATGGGAGGGCCTACGAAGGGCACTGGGGGAGAGGGCGAGGACAATAAAATCCTTCTTCCTGATAAATAAGGAGCCATGGTTTAACAGAGCTTGCTTTAAAAAAAAAAAAAAAAAATTAGAGGGAAACACAAAGCGAGGCGGTAAAGCAACGGAGTTGAAAACAAACCTCTCCCCTCTGTTAAACCCACGCCGTGCGTAACATTTCAGGGGGGATTCTGCCTGTAGCACGGCACAGCCGAGGGACATGAAGAGCCGAGGATCATGCAGGAGGGCGCTTTGTACCCAGCCACAGCACTGCAGGAGCCCACGTGTGGGGCTGGGCCTCAACGCGGGCTTTTTGGCGTTTTTGCTTTTGTTTTTTTCCCTCCCCGCTCACTCCTCCCCTCCCTTAGCCTTTGACCCTCTCTTAATTCATTAACATATTGAATTTTTTCAATTTTCCATCTTCTTGCAATAACAATATTAATGCCGGGGCCGAGGCCTGATTGGAGCTAAATTACTTGTTACCTGCTGGCATTTATTTATATGGCATTGAATTATAAAGCTTTGCTATTGTCATGCCTTGGGCGAATTGTTTATGACACCAGTAATAGGAGTAATTGTTATTGTTGAAATTACCTGTCAGCTACCCATAGCAGTGGCCCTTGTCCCACTGACAAATAGTGACAGGGGAGAGGGATCCTCCGCACGTCCTCCTGATGACTTCTCCTCCGATAATAAGGAGTGCAGGGCCTCTGATAATTTGCCTGTCACTGCCGAGCGCGGCTCAGAGAGAGTTGGCCAAATTGTTGTCATTCACTTTGACAAAGACAGCAAAACGCTCTGGAGCAGGGAGGAGGATTATCAAAATAAATGAAAGCGCTTACACATCCTTTGTTGTTGTTGTTGTTGTTTTGTTGTTTCTTTTTTTTTCTTTTTTTTTTTTCTTTTTTTTAACGTTGTGTGATTTTTCCCCCCTCCTTCCCCACCGGCCTGCCTTCATGCTGGGGTTGCAAAGAGGGGCACACACGTCACACCCGTGTGACTTCAGAGGGGCAGGGGGCTCTGCCATTTGCTTTCTGTGTGGGTTTCCAAATATAAATGCATTATATTTCCCCCCCCCCACAAGGCTGCCTATGGTTCAGGAATTACCGAGTGTCTGTCATTGCAAAAGAAAAGCTTGGATGGTGTTTCTGCTGGGTGGTGGTTTTCTTTTTTTTTTTTTCTTTTTTTTTTTCTTTTTTTAATATTTTTGACTTGCTTTCTTTTCCATACTGGGCAGCAGCATCACAGCTGTCAGCCCTCCTGCCTTCGCCCAGGGCCATGCCGCCATCCCCCAAATTACCTGCCCCCGGCACAGCACCTCCTCGAGCAGAGGAGGTCCCACCACTAACGAAGCGAGCGGAGGGCTCCCTGCTGGTAACGAGCTGATGTTCCTTGTCACGGAGCTGGGCTGCCTACCCAACCCGTGTCTCCCACCCCGCACCTCCCACAGCTCATCCTGTGGCAGCAGCAATCACTACTTTACGCCCAGGTAACAGCAACCTGGAGCACAAGGTGCCTCCGGGGCTGCTTTAGGCCCTTTGCTGCCTTTAGCCACCACCCGACGGGCCGAACCTCCCCGTGTGGCACCATCACAGGGCTTCGTCAGCTGCCAGGCCGCAGCCAGGCCCACGCCGACATCGACAGTGCCCCAGCCACGTGCCAGTGCCCAGTGGTGGTCGCTCCCATGAGGGGATGGCAAATTTTGGCAGGGGCGAACCGATCCCCCTGACTTCAACTCCGCACCGGCGCGGAAAGTGTTTCATTCGTAACCATTCGGCTCAAGCGCATAATTTAGCCGAATTATCAGCTGCCTCCATCTTTCCAGGGAACGAGCGCAAACAATGTTTTAGGAACAGACATCTAAATTTAGTAGGTTTTGAATAATTGATAGGAGCGTGTGACAGAAGATAGAAACTTATGTTTCTAATCATCCCAAAGCATTTTCTCGTTCCTCCCACCCCTAAATGAAGTCACTTTGTTTGCAGTTAAATACACGGAAGATGTCCACTTAACAAGTCTAAAATTGTGATACCATTAAGGGGTTATCCACGGCAATAAAACGCAGGGAACATGCCTGGGAACGCGATCTGTAAGGCAGATAATTTTTAAGAATGCGGCTTGTCCTTGCTTTGTCTGGGGAGAGACACGCTAGCGATCCTGGGAGGGGAAAAAATAAGGCACGTTTCAAAATGAAGATATTTAAGACGTGCGATACATTTTGGGGCGTTGCTGGAAGCTCCCATTTGATGTTTTTTCTATAAAGCCTAAATTAAGCCTCCGAGGGACGGCGATGCGTCTCCTGCTCCTAGTTTCACCAAAAACCAAAATAGGTTTTAAATGGCCACGTTATGAAGGCACGGGCACGCTTTCGCACACGACAGTAATCGTCCTCCCTCTGTTCCCCCCTTCGTTGCTAAACACGGAGCCAGCATCACGATAATGCATCTTTACATTCAAAGCTCATTTGAAATGTAAACTTTTAGCAAATGGCAATGGCTCGTGTAGCTGCATTGCTGAAGTGACTGGCAGCAAATTCCTTTTTCTCTCTCTCCTTCCCCTCCGCGCAACGTTTTGAAATACCCATCAGTGTCAAAGGAAACTGCGCAGAGCGCTGCTGCTGCTCTAAATAAGGCAGAGCAATGTTAAGAAAAACGTCAAAAAAAAATCTCGCTGGATTAAAGTGACATTTCTGTACCATGTCAACGCGGATGACAAAGCTTCATGTTTTGCATAATTTCAAAAGATATTCTTCATAAAACATCCAGTGTATAAACAGGCAGCGGGCTTTTGTTTTAAACATTTAAGATCAAAAGTTATGGTAAGAACAATTAATATTGCCTATTAAAATCCCGTGTTATTCTTAGAGATACATTTTGTGGTCACTGACTATAAATAAAAGCAAAGGAACCGAGCCACGGTTTCTCACCAATGTGCAATCTAGAAATATGAAAAGGCAATTTTCAGCCTTTTTTCCCCCCCCTAAGTTTCTCTTAGATGTGTTTGCTGAATAAACGGGATTAACTGTATTTAAAACAAGAGATAAAGAACAGATTTTTATTACGCTGCACAGGCTGCCGGGCTTCCACTCTCCTTTCAAAGCACTGCATGCCTGGAACAAAATATGCATATTTTACCTTTTCTGACACTTTATAGAATAAGCGAAAAATCCCTGCAATAATACAAATATGGAATCAATAGGGAGTGGTGTAAACAGCATTTTTTACCCTTTCTCTTTCTGGCCAAAGGCTGGCGCATTCCTCCTGCGACTTTTGTTTGCAGTTTTGCAGCAGGATTAGGAAGCAGAGAGGAACGCGCTCGTTCAGCTGAAGGACCTCTCGCTGCATCTGCCTGAAAAAACTCCGCGACTGCTGTTAATCCAAAACTAATGGCCAGAGCGTGGTCGTAAGTGCGAGCCTGCTAGCAGCTGAATTTCAATGGACGCTTTCTCAAAAATAGGTACAAAGAAAAGAATTTAGACAAATTTGCCTCTTAACCTTTAAAGATTTCCTGCCTATTCCAGTATGTCCTTTATTACATTAATTTTTTATTTAAATTACACCATTAACTGGATATGAATTTATCAAGAATACATATATTGATTTATAAAACAGTATCATTAATTATTATAATAGCTAGATGTAGCTGATATTACAAAGCCATTTAAAGGTTTTTAATATAACTTGGACATACATAGATAGATAGACATTATGGACAAGACTACAATTTAAACTGGCTACCAGCAGTTAATGAAATCCTTGATTTATCTTCTAGTTTAGAGATTGATTATATTGTTGCTTTGCAAAACTATTTATTTTGTGCCATTTTTCAAAAGATGTCTCAATAAAAGAAAAAAGACAAATAAAATATTCAGTCAATTCTCAAAGCATGTTTTGTTTTATATTTTCTTTCTTAATGCTGCTGCTGATAATTTATTACAAGTTTGGAGACTTGTCACCTTCACAAAGAATTGGCTTGCTTGATAGTAGCTCTGTTTTACAAATGCACGATTTCACATATTTGGAGGAAAAATGAAAAAAAAAAAAAAAAAGAGGCTGTTTTTCCAACAACATTGTGCTTTTTTCATAAAACAAAAAAACAACAAATGCCTTTCTAGCATAGATTTCTTAGGCATATTTTTGTTTAAGCTGTGGAAAAATGGGACTTACCCTAGTGCTGCAAAGCAGGCAGTCATGGAGAGCATTTTGATTTAAAATGCAATCTGAAGAGAAGAAAAGAAAAAAAAATAAGGAATGATATAAACAAACAGTACACCGCTTTCAAGTTACTCCTAAAATGTTCCTAGATTAACTAATACATTGAAAGTTTAAATCTTTACACATTGTTCTTGAGGGGCTATGTCTCTTGACTCTTTATTTATATCACTTATTCTTGTCTGGCAACATATGTTCCCGATTTATTATAGTATTTTTACTGTTAGCCAGACAAATGTAAGGGCTAGCTGAGAAGGGTAGTTTCATCTGATGAGTTTAACAATTGCAGGGCATCCTTTAGGGTTAGCCAATGGGCTCTTTTGAAGCTGTAATACTCACCATTAACCGTTTGGATGCTGAAATATTTGTATTGTCCAGGTTGGGGCTTCCCTGGTGTGAGCCTCTTTGTTTCAGATGGGTTCACAGGCAAACGCACCGCAGTGGGCGAGAGCTGCTCATCCAGCAAATGCTCCCGTGTGCATCCCAGACCACGCTGTTAGAGCTTGCGGGTAACAAGTCTGTACCGTGCGTACCCCCCTCCGGTCGGATAGAGAGAAAGGCATGCAGAAAATAACGCTTAAAAAGTCTAATTCTGTGATGTATGGCAAATATTAACCGTAAGCGTTTGGAACTCCGTGTGTGCTTTCTGACCACCGGAAGGTAATGGGGAGGAAGGCTTCCTCTGTCAAAGCACAACCCCAAAAACGTGTATTTTAAATAGATGCCCTGACACCTGGGGAAAAGGTGGGAGGAGAGGTGGTGAGCTGGGTGCCGCGTTTTACACGTCTCACATTCAGGCTACTTGTTCTGGGGTAAGAACCTGCACTTTTTCCACCTCCTGTTTCCTCCCCTTGTCTCTCTTTGTTCGATGCCAAGAGGTTCCTGCACATCCACCAGAAGCTGCTGGTGGAAACAGGTACATTTGCATTTGCACCCCCACCCAGCTGTGCTTGAGCTTTGGGGCACCAACAGGTTCGCAGCTCCAAGGAGATGTAGGGATATAATTCCGAGCATAACGCCACGTTCACAATCTGCAGCCTTTTGGCACTCGATCAGATCACGACACCCATCAGCGTATCCTACTACGGGTGGGATGCCCATCATGGGATGCTCGGGACCCCTGCGCACCAAAGAGCACAGGGTGAATCCAGAGCAGGCTGTAGGGCACAAGTGACATTTTTTTTGCCTTTGGGAATCAAGTCAGGCCTTGGGGATAGGAGACAGCTCTGAAAAGTTTTAGTTTCCCTTGCATCTTCAGGGAATGAGGGAAGGGTCAGTGTAAAGCTTGCACAAGACCACATGTTCAGAGCAGTAATCTGCTGGGGAACAAAATACAGAGGGCAAGATGCTGTGTTTCAGGTAGAATAAATACAGCAGGTTATAAATAAGCAGTAAATACAGCAGTTAGACTCCTCGTGGGATCCCTTGAAAGGGGATTTTGACTCGGTGGGTCAGGGCACATTTCCTGGTGTCACCAGTGAGCCAGTGGCAAACAGCGTGGTATGGTTGTCACTGGGAGAAGAGCAAGGGGAGAAGCACTCCTGGGATTTTTTGCTTTGACTTAATAGCAGTTCAGTTGTCCTGGGCTCACTTGTTTGTGGCTTTTCTTTTTTTTTTTTTTTTTAATTAGAAAAATGGCCAAACATTCCCTCTGCTTATTGCAGGGGAGTTGATAAGCAGCTGGACTTCCTAAAGATGACTTGGATTCAGCTGTGTGCAAAAACATCATAAAGATGGAGATCTTTCTTTCTGATCGATTTTCTATAGCATGAAGATAGCCCCAATAATTCCTTACCCCAGATTAAATTTTAATTGCACTTTGGCTGACCAAAAACAGTGGCAATGAATGCAGGTGGAGCACAGGGTGGCTGTGGTCAGGGGCTGGCTCTCTCCAAAGGTTTTCTGGAGGCAGGTGCCACCGGTACCCTGAGCAAGCATCAAAAGTGGCAGTACTGGGGCTCAGAGCACGGGGCTTAACACCTATTTAATTTTCTATTTTAAGGAGGTTTCTGGCAACTTCATAATTAAGTTAATAACCGCTCCTGATTTTGTTTCACCCCCCCACAACACTTTTTGGTTTTAGTGTGGGGAGGGAGGAACAAGGAGCAGCTCGGTCCCTCAATCACTCCCTCTGTTTTGTCCATCACCTTGGTTTCTTTCCCCTGTTTTTGACCTGCACTTTTTCTGGATCAGACACTGGCAGGTTGAGAGGTAATAAGAACCAGATGGACAGAGTGCAGAAATTGCCCAAATGGGTACGAGAATGTGGGGAGCTGTCAGGCATGGAGAGAAGCTGGAATTTTTCAGCAATAAAATGGGATTTATCGCCACTCTACCACAGTCATTGCCGACAACCGTTTACCTTGACAGAAACCCCATTCCAATAGGCCATGCCGATGCAGATTTTTTTTTTTTTTCCCAAAGAGTGATGATTGGTATTTGTTCTAAGGCTCAAATGGCCTGCACTAAAGGTGAAGCATTAGGCCAAAGTCCTGTATTCCCTACTGAGGCAAATGAACCTGCTAAAATAAGTTCCTTCCACAATAGCTGTGTAATTGAAACCAGAAAGTGAGAGAATTTGATAAATTGCTTGACCCTGAAGGAATGTTAAGGTCATAAATTTTCATTGCATTTTTTGCCTCTTTTTCAGGAAAAAAAAAAATTCTCTTTTTATATATATTGATTATGTTTAGCATTTGTCTCCAAATTCCAGCTAGCCTCCAGATCATTAGCCATCGCTCTGCCATCCTCTCCCAACAGGCAACAATTACAAGGTTTCCAGCATCCCCACCTACACCATCCTGGAACGGCTGAAGGACACAAAACATTCACAAACGGCAGCTCTTACATCCGACGGCGAAGGAATCTGCCGCACACAGCACTAACAACCCGAAATGGAGAGTTTAGCAAGTGCAATCCGTTTAGGAGGACGGAGTAAAAAACGGTGCTGTGCTTGGAGAATGATGGAGTAAAAAAATGTCTGCAAATCATTTACGGGGAATCAAACATTTATTGCCGTTCTTACCTTTTTTTTTTTTTTTCTTCCTGTCTTCTAGTTGAAAAAGGATGTTTGGTGTGTTATTGAATAATATGTGCAGATGTCCCTTAAAGCTCAAAAGACCCAAACAAACCCCAAACCCCAGAGTATTTTATGATGGAAAACCACGTTTCAATAAGAAGTAAATAAATTGAATAAAACCAAGAAAAATGTTAAGAAGAATTAGGAGAATAACCAGCAAGGTAAAACATCCAGCAACACTTCCCTCCCTGTGCTTGCAACCATCAATAAATACAGCCGTGCTAAAATCATGGGCTAAGAGGGAGCAGGGGCACATAGAAGTGTTGGTTTTGTGTGTGTTGGTTTTGTTTTTTTTCCCCTGCAGTAACAAAATTCATCTCCTCAACTGGACCAGCTTCTGCTTCACCACTGACTGAAATCTGCTATCATACAGCAACTGCTTTTTATAACCAAGCTGCTTTTCCCCCCTGCCTGGAATATAACATTTCAGAGGCAAAACTCTCCTTGTAGCACTTCAGCAAGGCGTTACACTTTCCGTAGCCATACACACTTAACCCAACATGAAGCGAGTTAAATAATCATTAGCACAGTAACCCATTGCTATCAAAAACTTATTGGTCCTCTAAATTTTAAATTAATGGCCTGTCTTCCTGTTCTCTGTGTGTGTCTGTCTGCTTTTCAGCCACCTCAGTGCATAGTCATAGATGTTTTATCAGCACATATTAGACTATTTGCATTATTGACATTTCAATTTTTAAAATTAAAAAGAAAAAAAAAAAAAAAAGCAAAAAGAAGAATAGTTCCTGCTGAGTTGTTTTATCTGTAGACTTCTGGTTCTTAAGTAACTCATCCCAGCATTAATTAGCAGCCAATATTTGACAAACCAACTAAGAAATACACTCTGTCCCTCTGCAGCCAAGTTGCTGTAGCTCAAAGAAGTTTCCTTAAGAAAGAACAAAAAAGAGGAGATAAAGTAAAAAGAATTGGAGCAATGCCCTGATAAAAACTCAATAGTTTATACTCACTTTTTCTTTTTTGAGAAGTTAAATAAAACTGCTTTTTTTGTTGTTTGGTTTTATTTTCTTTTGAAAAACTCCTTTTCTCCCCATAAACTGTTCGATTTCTGGCCCAAATCCCTTTTTTTCCTTTTTTTTTTTTTTTTTTTTTTTTTTTTTAGTCCTGAAGTAATTTCTAGTCATTTTAAGGCAGTTACTTATCCGGAGAATGAAGGAGTATCAGCTGTGTTTCAATTAGAGAAGGAAAAAAGATAAAGACTTGGAACTTAACCTAAAAACGCGAAGTGACATATTAGGATGAGAATTTTCATATGTTGCTGTATAAATATTTTAATAAAAGTCCTAAAATAATGTGTCTGCCTCCTGCTTTATAAAAGAGAGGAGATTATGAAGTGCAAATGATGCAGCTTAGATGTATCTATCTGACTGGGATTTTTCACCATTAAAGCGTCTCTTCATGCCTCTCCTCCAGAATTTGGTTTTAGAGCCCCAAAAAAGTATAAATCTCATGAGCATAAATAAAATATGAACGGCAAGTGGCTTCAATCACTAATATTTTTGCAAACTAACGTTCAGCTGATGCAACTCGATTTTGTTTTGCATTGCATTAGTGTCACAGTGGCAATGACTGGCCTTTATTCACCGAGCGTTTGAGTCAGCACTTTGAGACATTTTTCAAATTAGGTCATACTGCAAATTTGCAGCCGATACAAAGGTTGATTAAGAGAGCTCCGCAATTTTAAAGGGATGTCGTGTGAGGAGAATTAAGGCCTGCGTGATAGTTCCAGGAAATGTGAGGCCCCATAACTAGGTGGGAATAATGTATGGGCTATATGGGGAAAGAACATATTTCCTCGGAGCGCTCGAAGTAATACTCATTTACAATTTAACAAAGTCCTCCCCCCTGTTACGGAAGAATTGTGTTACGGGCCTTGAAAACAAGCCGTGAATGACAACAGGGACACAAGGAGGTGAACCCAGCTCTCCCTCTGCCAAAAGCCAGCCCCTTCCTCAGCCTCACCTGGTGGTAGGTGCAGACCCAGCACCCTGCCCCAGCACCCTTCCTCCTGCTACCCCCCACTAAAAATGATCCCGTGCCTCCATGCGACCCTTCCCCATAAAGCAGCAATGCCACAGCGAGGCTGAGCAGTGCCAGAAACCCACCCTGAAGAGTTTCTGGGCAAGTCATCAGACACGACTCAGCCAGGGGTGCCGGCTCAAAAAGCATGCGGAGAAAGCACCTCGGAGGAGCTGCTGGGTGCTGGAGAGCTTCACTGCTGATGGCTTCGTGGGAGGCGAGGAGAGTGAGCTCTCTGAAGGGCCCGATTTGCTGAGAGGGCAGACTCGAGCCTAACACTTCTGTGACGCTTTGGGAATTTTATTTTTCAAACTTTTGTTGTGGGGAACAACAGCTCCTTAGGAGCAGAGAGCTCTTCTTAATTGGATGTAAGTGGGTACAAGCCGACCGCCAGCTCCGTTTTGGGTTAGCTCTCTGGCCCACTTGACAAGGCACAAAGCTGTTATTAACGCCGAGTTTGCCTAATGCATCGATGCTTGGGACAGGATAAAAACAAGCAGGATTGTGGATGCAGCAGTAGTGCTTAACCCTCCTGCCACCAGAACTCAAGTCCCACAAGCTATGTTTTCTACACTCAGGACCATTACCGTGATTTAAAGGTCTAACAGCAGTGAAATAAAACATAAACAATTGAAGATCGAAGCCCGAAGAGAGATCTCTCGCGGCATGAACAGCCACGAAAGCCAGAAAAACATTTTACATTCCCCTTTTGTATTTCCCCTCGTTCCTTTGTAGCAGGGTCCCTGAACTTGCATTTTGAATGTGGGCAGCCGGCTGCGTTTCATGTTTTTGATGTTAGGCTCACCCGCAGACCTCTCCATTCCCCATATGTTTCTGGATTCAGTCACTTCACCACAGCCCTCTCTGACAGTACAACACCTCAAATCCCTCCGAGTGGCAGAGCCTATTTTACTCCCAGTCACTTTCAATTTGCCTCCAGTGTTTCTCTGAAGGTTTGAGCTGAATGTGATTTCCAGGACCAAACGAAAGGACGTGGCAAGCAGCAGGCCACAAATGAGAAAGTGGCCGGTGCCACGGTGAGAAGTCACTGGAGGTGCTGGCTCACAGGGGGGACTGAAACAGGAGCGGGAGCTGCTTGCAGCCACCATCGAAATATTTCAATATTTTGAGCTACATTTACATTTCAGCTCCCTTTACCTTGTTCTACTGAGTGAGAGGAAAATTGCCATTAAATCCTGAAACCAGGAGTAGTAAATGAGATTTAAGGACATGAACAGCAACAAAAGGTGTATGCCTACTGCAGCAGCATCCGCACCTCGCAGAACCCAGCAGGAGCAGCGTGGAGGTATCTGCTGCTGCTTCTGGTGCCATTGCCCATCTCCAGCACTCCAGAAGTCATGAATCAGGCAAGAAAGGAAAGGAACTCGTGCCAGAGTGACTCAAACCAATTGTGGGAAAACAAATCGGGGGCTTCTTAGAAAAAATAAAAATAAAAAAAAAAAATCTTACTGCCTTTTGAGCCTTTGTGGGGACACTGAGAGCATGCTTCCAAGCTCTTTTGTTCTGCCCTAAGGGATGGAAAGCTGCTCTTAATACAAGAAAACAAAGCCCTCCACTGCCACTACCAACAAAAAAAGCTGAAACGCTTATGAACACTTTGCTCCAGGCAGTGTGGCAGTAAGGAAAAATCATTGCAACCATCACAAGACTTGGCAACACCAGGGCCATGCCAGCAGAGTGCTCTTACCCATTACTGTAAATCACAGGCTGAGCCCAGTTTGTTGCGAAACCTCCAATTGTGGCTCCTTGGATGTGATAAATAAAAATACCGTCCCTTGGTGCACTTGACTAGCATTTGTGGGGCCGAGAGGAAAATTCACGCTTCTGCACAGGGTCAGGACAGAGGCGAGATGATGCTGGGATGTATCTTGGTGTGAACAATTCACAAAGAGGAGCTTCAAGCAAACACGTAGCTCTCTGTGCCTCCATCCCCATCTGCACAACCACTATGCCAGACAAGTACTTCATTCATTTTAAGCATTGCAGTATAAAGTGTTTGGAGAGCAGGGCTTGGGGTCATTTTGGTTTGGGTTGTTGGGTTTTCTTATTTGATAGCAACATCTGCACTCTCACCAAAGTCCAACACGTGGAGTCAAAAAGAAGCTGAGATGGTGCCTGGGGCTTGTCACAGAGCATAGCACTCACCTTCACCAAGACATCTGTCACAGCATGACACTTCTGTTAATAAATACAGGCACCAGACCAGGTTTTGGGGCATGTGATGGCCAGCTCATTTGGTGTGCTTTCTGCTAGGTAAAGACCGAGAGCAGACTTCTACTCTGCCTGGACAGATATCCTGGAGCCCACTGGGGCCAGCAGCCCTTGAACGTGTGCCCGTGGTGCTGTAGGGCCCTGCCTCAACCCAGCGAGGATGGTGTTACTCAAGCCCTTCCTCTGGGAGTGCTTCCACAAGCACATTTCTAACACAGCTTCTGCAAGTTGTTTTATGGGAATGCGGCACGACCACTCGGTGTGGATGACTTTGCCTCTCTTTTCTGCTGCACAGAGAGCTGGCAGAAGGATGGATGAAGCTAGAGGTGAACCTCCACAGCCAGCTCCGAAACCTGATGAGCAATCCTCGAATACATCAAGCAGCACACTGCAGGGCTCACTTCCTACAGAGAATATTCCAAAAACAACCAATTCAGAGCCCTCCCCTTGCTTAGAGCACACACTTTTTTGCACACACCGGACCAGCTGAATATTTATAGGAGAGGTTTGAGGTCAGGTTGCTGTGTTCAGCACCCTGTCGGCCAGTGCTGGAGCAGCCAGCTGGCAGGTGGCACCTCCCTGCCGAGCCAGCAGCGTGGCCCCTCATGCACCAGCTGGCTTTCGGGGACACTGGCGGCGAGGGACCTGCGGTAAACCCATCCAGCCTGACACCCAGAGCCACTCGGCTGGAGTGAGAATGGACCCTGACACACTAGCATTTAGGCAGAGCTTCACTTGGCAAGGAGTTTTTGGAAACCATCTTTTCTGCTCTTTTCTTCTTCCCTGTCTCTTTTCACCACCCGAGGTCTCCTTGGTATGATGGCTCCCTGCAACCCACGCGAGCCAGAGCCCAGTGTACAAACCCACACACCGAGCAGTTAGACCGTAAGTCCTACATCTTCACCAATACCTCTTGTCTGATAACAAGCTCAGGCCTCAAATAAGATGGGGAAGAGCCAAGTGGTTAGGGGCAGACGGTTTGCCCCACCAGCTCCACTGAGCAGATGAGAAAACGCACTTAATTAGCTAAATTTATTAATACGCTGCTTGCTTTTTTTTTTTTCTTCAGAGAGGATACAGCTACATTATTGAGGTGAAACATGACTTTTGATGATCAAGCAAGCAGTGATTAAATAAGGTTAATCCTCATTTTATATGCTAATAGGATATTTATAATCTCAACTGCATATCCAATTTAGCTATTTTATTTTCTGTTGTTAAGAAAGTATTTCTTATTAGTGAAAGAGAATACCCCTACGTTCACTGCAGATGCTATTTTAATTGGGCTCAAGTGCATTGTGTGTAATTAGTCCACTTCTCTAATATTTCATCTATAATTACACCGTGAACAATGTGCTTAAATTTCAGAAGGGCTGCCAGTTTCTTTCTTTCTTTTTTTTTTTAATAAAACTGCTAATTAATTGGTGACCCTTCCCATGGACAAATGATTCATATTGTAGCCCAGCCACAGGGCTCTCAAAAGACCACCTTTTCAGAAGTTTGAACACCTTGTTTTGCCACACAGCCCCTGATGTGATGAGCATGAAAGCACCTCCACCACCCACCTGGCTTCACCAGGACCACCATTACAAGCCTCCTAACGAGATACTGCGGGGCGGGCAGGACTTTAGCAGCAATTTTCGATTATATTGGCTATCCAGAATGAGCAATGGGATGTTGTTTCATCCCACCCACCTAAATACATTGCACCCGTGGCTCCCATTCTCCATCTCAGTGGCCCAGCTACTGCATCAGTGAGACAAAGAAAAGAAACAGCGCCGAAGGTGGTGCCAGCGAATTTGTTGTGATCCTATCAGCAGGACTGAAAGGTCAAGTCTAAAATACACTCTCCTGGAAAATGTCGGGACAAGGTGCTATTCGAAGGCTGAAGAGCAAGCCGAGCTCTCTCAGAGGAAAGCAGCGTAATGTGCAAGAAATCACATTTCCCTCTAAAATACCTCCAGTGATTTCACTGGCTTCACGCTGTGCTACCAAGCCTACCATCTTTCATGGAATATTACATGAGAAACTGAGGATATGACACTGGGATAGAAACACAGTAGACACACAGAGGTGGTCGTGAAAATGGAAGACCTTCCCCCTTCCACACCATCACTCCCCCAAAATGACAGCAAGCCATTCAGCAAAAAAACACGCTGGTATACATTTATATATATATGCACAAAGTCATACCTGGTCATGTTGAGTGTGCAGGATTTTTGTCTTGTGCTCCTCAGATAATCGTTTTGCAAATGCTGCTCCATGTCTGTGCTTGGCATTTCCTTCTGGGAGGGCAGCTTCACAGGTGGCCCAAATCCAGCCCAATATTAGTAGGGAAACTGCAGACACCTTGAGGTTAAGCTGTCCCTCCTGCATGTGTCCATCCTTGGTTATCCCATCCCAGGGCTCACAGTCATAGCGGCCTCATCACTGCCAATCTCTAATGATTTATAAGCACACAGAAAGGAGATTCCTAGAAAGAAACAGAAGACACCAATGATTAACCTTCCTGCATTCACCTCTCTAAAAAAATAGAAATTCAGAGAGAAAAAACCATTAACATCCAGAGAAGAGCCTTGCCCAGGAGGACAGACACAGGACTTGAGGTCTCCCAGGATCACGTTGTCCCTTCCCAAAGCACCACCATGAGAAGCCAGCACTTCGGGGGCAGGTTTTTCTCCTCTCTGAAACACTAGCTACTATTTGGGGAAAGGTTGCTTTTCCCCCCCCCTCCCAAAAGCCTGACCTCTTCCCATCTGCAGGAGAAAGTCAAATTGCTACCAATCTGGCTCTGACACAAACTAACTCCTTCTGCCCAGAGTTTATTTTTCAAAACAAGCATTCCTGCAATATGCTGTTTGTTTAAAACACAGCATAAATGCCAGTAACCCAACATTCACAGGGAACAGCAACCAGAGGTCTCCCGCTTAGTGTTTTAGAGCTATTAAGTAAATCAGGGGAAAATTCCTCAGGAAATGATGGGGTTAGGCCTGATGGGCATCCCTGGGTGATTAAATGCAACTTAATGAGGTCACGGGTGACAGATTTGGGTGCAGAACTGTTTAAACAGCGTGCAAAAAAATAGATGTTCATAGCACACAGGGGACTGGAATTGAGGCTGGTTGTATTATCCATGGCACAAAAACATGCCAGAAAAGGTGGCCTTTGTCCTGCCCACTGCCCATTCAAGCAGTGAGTGGAGATGGGGAAAGAAAATAAAAAGAAAAAAACAGCAGGCATGAGGAAGCAACAAGCTTGCCTTGGCCAACACAAAGTGGTAGCTTAAAGGTAAACAACTTTTCACTGTTCTGAAATTTTTATTTTTGAATTCAGAAAACAGAAAAACTATGACAATACGGTTTCAGAGACCAGAAGGAATGGGGAAAAAAATGTTAAATTCCAGCACACTCAATGTTTCATACCCATCCTTAAAAACTTACGCCACTGAGCAAACATTAAAGGGGCTCTCAGCTAGGAGTGGTCTGGATAGTGTCATGAGTCAAGGATGGCCCAGCATCACTTTGATTTCTTAGAGGTTAGAGAGGAGGATTTAAGTCACAACACTTTATTCCCACCCCCCCACACACACCATGTCTCTAATAGAAAATGGTTCCCTTGATCGAAGGAGCTAAATTCTGCTGTCATTCTGCAGGACTGTGGGATAATTACATTGACTTCATCTCAGCACTTCGTTCCTGCTGATATGCCTGTCAAGGACAGGAGGGGATGCACAGTGTCTCACTTTCCCAAGTAACCCTTCGACACCCACCCAAGAGGGGCTTCTTACACTCCTACCACTGAACTGCCATGGAAAGAGGACCCTGGCTGGCAACCCACCAGTGATAGGGCCTCTTTGTGGAAAGACAAAAGGGGATTTTTCCCTTTGTCACCCTTAGTTTGTGGCCAAAGGGGCTTCCCATCGTGCTCTGTTGGCCCAGAACTACCCACTGTTCCTTCCCAAAGAGCAAATGGATGGCTATAGGTTTTCGTGTGTGGTCAACAATGATGCAATATATCCTCCCATTTGGCAGCAGCCCCCCTTTTTTATTTATTGTGCTATGTTATTAGTTATACAATTCACCTGGTAGAGAGTGACTTGCATTCACTTGTGAAGAATGAAGATTTTACCAGTTGACTATTTTTTTTTCAAAACTAGAACCCATATTAGTTGGAAAGGGAAAGGCCAAAGGGAAATTATTGCTATTTTAGACAGCAGCATAAATTTTCTTCCTATTTTTAACCTAGCTTTTAATTTAATAAGTTTTATGACCCTTATATTAAGTACATATGTTTTACAAGACATTGTGTCCCTTGAGTCACCCTGAATTTGCTCTACTATAGCAGAGTTAAATGAATGAATACTGTGTTTCTGATTTCAGCTCACCCCTTATTTGATCCTTATATAGTCAATAAACCCTCATAGAAGCATGGAGCAACTGAATTAAGCAGTGTGCCAAAGCTCTGTTTGTGAACTCTCTGTTAGTCTTTAAAAGGGAATTAGTAAATTGCTATTCTCTTATTCAGACCCTACTATACCACTGCCAGGTTTCACATGCTGTTTACAAGGGATAAATGGGGATATTAATAATACTTTTGAAGCTATATGTCACCAATTTTATTTTCCATATGAAAATTCAAAAGGATGGCCAAGTTTTTCTTTTTTTCCCCCCACCTCACTATTCCACCCCCCCAAAAAAATTATTTTTTTCTGTTGTTCTTTGAAAACTTAGAAAAACAAAAAGATATAGTCAGCCCTGCGCAGGTTATAGACTGTTAAAAAAAAATAAAAAGCAGTTTTGGAAGGAAGATGGGATATCTTTTCAGAAAATAAACATGTAAACAAAGGCCAACCCTACTTTCCCAATGTAAGTAATCCTTTCACCAAAATTGGGGCACATGGGTGACTGCAGAATCAAGCCAAAGGAAAAAAAAATGCATTCTACAATTGGAATAGAATCAAATTGGAAGATTAATCAAATTACCTGGAGTAGATCCCTTTAAAAAACTAGGACACCCCCCCTTATACCCAGTGTCTGCAGAGAAAATAAGCATGCAGCAAGATCATTCATGTTTGGGTGCATTTACCCTGTTTATTTAAGTAATGCTCTAGAGCAGCTTTTCACAACAGGTTTGCAATGGTGGCAAAACACAAAGATTAGAAAGGGATAGTTGATGTTTGCTCTGCAGCGGGAAGCATGAGTTATTGATTGGCTTCATATCAGCCTAGAGTTCCTTTTTAATATAATAAGATTAGTTTAGAAGGGTGTTTTATAAATCGGGTGGTTCTAATTTGATTTGAGTACTGGCTCTTAGTGACTTGCCAAAGTTCAGTAAATATGCAGAGTATAGTATATGCACTTTATCTTTGTGTATTAGCTATGACATAAACACAGAGGGGAAAAGTCAAATTTTATACATCAGAAAATGGGTTTGTTGCCAGACATTATAACATTGCGTATTTAATTTAACTGATATATGTTAAAATGGGAAACCAAATTCAATGAGCTGTTTGTTTCTTTCTACAAATACACTTACATCAATGACCTCGGAGGACATGACCTTAAAATGTAACTAGATGTTTAAAAGAACCTCAAAGATCTATATAAGACATTAATGTTTGTGTCAGAGGGCAGTATACAAGCATGTATATACTCAGCTGTCTATATGTCGACTGCTATATTTTTTATTGTTACAGGAAGCCAGCCAAACTCCCAAACAGGAAAATTATCAGCTCTTTTTTTTTTTTTTTTTTTTTTTTTTGGCATGGTCCTGTTTAAGACTAGAGGTATGACCTGAAGTTAGAACGTATTTTAGTAACAATTTTGGCACCTTTTGCATGCTTTCCAATGCTAACTCTCGTTGGGGAGAACAAGGCCCCCGCGGAGCCCCATGTAGTGGCTGGGTACGGCGTGCAGCCCAGCTTTTGGTGGAGGACGGGACTCCTAAAAAAGAAGAACCAACCATTTTAACCGGACATGTGGAACTCCTGGTCACCTCCCAAGGGAGGAACCGATGTCAAGTTCTGCTGTCTGTCAGGATTAAGTGCCTGTTTGCTTTTTCACTAACATGTGGTTTGAGAACAAAGCAGCTCAAATCTCCCCCATTCTTAACAAAGCATCTCAAATTGCTGAGTAAAATTCCTTAATCCCCCGTCTTAATCTGAAAACACCAGCGCCACATGGTAACACTGAGGTCTCTCTTTGTCCACCATAGAGCGCATTGACATAGATGTTTGATTTGGAGCTAACTTTTTTTCTTCAGCAGCCTGTTATCGGAGGGAAACTCCAGGTGCTTTGTTCTCAGTGCAGGTCTGCCCAGGTAATTTTCTTCCTTATCTTTTCATTCCAAATGAGAAAACTCAAAACAAAGCAGCAGGGGAACAAACTTGCATGGTTTTTCAACTTCATAAACACAAGAGGTAAAACTGCAGGTGAGCTTTTCCATCATGCAGACCACGAGAAGGCATTTGGCAGTTGCTTGCCTTAGCTGTAGGCTGCCTGCTCCAGAGGGCAGGCCAGAAGTCACAGTGGCTTTGGACAACTGTAACGTGCACTCCCACCAGCACAAGCAAGCAAACTGGGACTAGAAAGTAAGCAAACAAAACACTGGATCCTAGGAGATCAAAGGTCTGCCTGGCCAGAAGTGACCAGAACTGGCTGCCCAGGGGAGAACAGAAGTGTGGGACATTCCCTATGCACTGTCCCAGCCCACCCTGTCTGCGGGAGATGACACATGGGCAAAGTTCTCCATAAGTGAGTCAACCAAATATGCAAAAAATTTCCCATATAAAAGTTAGGCAGATGGGGAAAAGAAGAGAGAGTTTTCACTTCAGTGATCTTTATTCCTCTTCTTTTGCTGATTTTAGCCACTTCCTTTGAGGTTTAGCTCTGGAGGCCCACGAACTGGATTGTATGCTCTATTACCTTGTCCTGCTTTGATCTGTACTTGCCAAAAATTAGTTTGTGCTCCGTGTTCTCCTCCATTTCTGACCTCGGCAATGTGCGTGCCTGCCTTCAAGCTTTACTTCCTGGAAGAGCTCCAAAAGATCCAGAGTAGCCCCTCTAATCTGGGGCAGGTCAGCAGCGGAGTCAGGACTTTTATCCCCAAAGCCATAAGGGCTCCATAAGGAGCAGCAACTGACTATCCGTGAGGAAACTTGTAACACGCTTTCTTCCTCTCGTCATCAAATAGGACACCAAGAACAGCTTCAGAGGGTCTGCTCATGAAAAATAACTCAGGGTTTATAACCAGCAGCAGTCAGCTGGAAAGCATAACTCACTGCTAAGCTGTTTACGTGCAGCTGGAGCAAAGTGGTGTGAAACAGAGCGTGTGGGGCAGGTGGGTACGAGGATACACAACTGGCCTTGGAGAGCCCTGATTTCTGCTTGCCCTTCTGGTTGACTGTTTGAGACAGAGCAAAAGAGACTATCAGGGGTGTGTCCTTCAAGATGCCAAGGCCAAAGTTTGCAGTTT